TTTCAATTTACACTCTTTTCCTTTCCCTTCCTTCTCTTCCCTTCCTTCCTTCTTGTCCCTCTTTCTGCTACAGCTTCCAGTACTATTTTGAACAAGAGTTGTGAGAATGGACACCCTTGCCTCAGTCCTTGTCTTAGGAAATACATACAGTGTCTTTCACCATTAAGTATAATGATAACTGTGAGACTTTTTGTAGATGTTCTTTATCACACAGAGGAAGTTCCCTGCTATTTATGGTTTGCCAAGAGGTTTCATCATGAACGGATTTTGGATTTGTCAAATGCTTCTTCTGCATCAAGTGATGCCGTTATGCAGTTTTTCTCCCTTAACGCTTTGATCTGATGGATTACAATGACTGATTTTCAAAAGTTGAAATAGCTTTGCATGCCTCGAATAAATCCTACTTACGCATGGCATATAACTTTGCACATTGTGAAATTCTATATGCCGACACTTTGTTGAGGATTCTTGCCTTTAGATTCGTGAGGGATATTGGTCTGTAGTTTTCTATTTTATGTAAAGTCTATCTGGTTTTGCTATCAAGATAATAATAACCTCATCAAATGAGTAGGGAAGCGTTTCCTCCTCTTCTTTTTTTCTGGAAGACGTTGTACAAAATTGGTGTTAATTTCTCTTGAGATGTTTGCTGACATTCTCCAGTGGGCCCGGGTGTCTCATATACGTTACTCTCTGCTATCTAAGCTTTCTTCCTCTTCCTTAGACTCAGATAATGGTTTTGGCTTCCTCTTTCATCTGATGTGAACCCCTAAGGCCATGTGCTCTGGCATTGGGACTGAAACCTCTGCTAAGATGAACCAATGGCCTTGGGGAAGAGACTCCACATGCTTGCTTGGCTTTTTCAGCAAGCAGAGGAGACCTGCCCAGTCCTGTTGTTGACGCTGCAATGTTCACCTTCCATCAGTGACCCAGACAGACCTCTAGTGACCACTTCTGGCTAAATTCCATGAGCACGCACACCTCTGCAAATTTTTAAAGGTGATTATCTTTGGATGGAAGCACCGTGCTTTCTTTCCTTGCTTTATACTTTCATGTTTTCCAACACGTTTTTTTTTTTTTTTTTTTTTTTTTTTTTTTTCCATTGAGAGGTAGCATCTGTGTAGGGGTGATAAGTGTAAAACTCAGGTTCTCTGATCCTAGGGGCTAAGGGATGAGAACTCTCAGGTATGCTGCGCTGAGCCCTGTGACCATTGGGGGGGTGTATCCATTACCTGAACAAAAGGGTGTGGAACAGACATGACCGCTGGGAGATGTTGTGAGCTGGGAGCCATTCCAGTCTAGTTCTATAAATTCTGGCTGGGACAGAAAAACCCTCCCCCAAGAAATTCTAGGGTAATAGGTGAGGAGAACACAGTAAACAGGCATAGGGGAGCCCCCCACAAAACACACCTGAGCCCCACTCACCTGTGAATCCCAGAAGCAGAGTCAGCAGCAGGGATGGCAGAGTTGGGCAGTGTAGGGAGGGAAGGACAGGCATCGTCGTGGCCCCTGGAGCCTTCTCTGTCTTGAGTGTTGTCCTGGAGAGGTCCAGGACTCTGTGCTCTGAGGAGAGAAGACACTCCCTGCTTCCATGATGTCAGAGGAAGGGGATTGTGATGAGAGGAAAGACCATGGGACTGTAACACTTTTTAGATGATCAGCTGAACAGACAAGGTGGCTGTAAGCTGAGAAGTTGCTGCTGGAAATGCTTGGGGTTCCCAGAGTTAAGGGCCTGACACCCACAGGCTTGTGCTCATTCCTGAGCCTCGTCCCATCTGAGGTTCTCGCCAACCTGCCCACCTGCCAGTTTACAGATCCCAGAGATACGGTGTGGGAAAGAGGTTAGAGTTTTGGAGATTGTGAAGATGTGTGCTTTAGAAGATGGAGGGAGTCACAGGGGAGATGGGCTGGGGCGATACTCTGTAAGAGGGAAAGCAACACACCTAGACACATACCTGGGCAGCGGAGGGCTGTCCTGCTGTCTGTGTTGGGTCTTGGGCCGGTTCTGGAGGAAAGGAGTGGAGGGACACAAGAAACACTCTCAGAAAGAGAGAGGACCCAGCACGTTTGCTTCCTTCTCTCTCACCACTGGATTGCGCTCTACCCAAGCACACAGGTTGTCTCCAGGGACTCTCAGCCCACGCTCCGCCGTTGACCCTTTAATGTCCAGGAATCCGTAGTCACATGCTGACGGCTAGGGCTATTTCGCTACTGCTTCCTTGGGAGCCCCACCTCCTCCTCGGGATCAACAGGATGTTAAGGCCAAGAGAGGTGTTAGAACAAGAGGAGAATGCAGAGCGGGCTGAACGTCCTGTACGAGATGACAAGACTCCCCCTCCCTTTGTGATGTCACCATTGTGTCACCTTGTTCTGGAAAGATGAATTCCATGCTGGGAGGCTATCCATGGTTCCTGCTGAGGGATTAACGGGATCTTTCCTTCAGTCCCCAGCCTCTTACCCTTTTGTTCACCTCTGGTGGACTTCATACTTTACAGCAGACTCTAAACTCTTCAGAGACGGGGATTTTTAGTGCCTTGAAGGTCAAGAGTGCTGGATTTGCAACCAGATGCAGTCAAGCTCCCAATCCTGAATCCACTTCTTGGTGGCTCAACCTATACATCCTTTGACGTTGAAATTTTCATTTGTAGAGCTCAAGGATTCAAAGCTGAGTTCGTAGTCTCAACTCGGGTGTTCTCTTCCATCCTTCCATCCTGTTCGGTATGTGGCACATCCTGTACCCATTTGGTCAAACCAAAAAGGGACCCATGTTCTACACCCTCACTTGTCCACTCTTGTCTGCCTGCTACAGGCCCTGTTTTACCTCCTAAATACCTGTTGAATCTGTTTCTCCATCTCCATCATCATCTCTTGCCTGAATGAAAAATCTCCTCACCCCTTACATCTTTCCAGTGTCCCCCAAGAGCATGCAAGAGGCAGAGATCAAGTTGAAGACAAGATGTTGAGATTTTTTTTTAAATGTTTATTTATTTTTAAGAGAGAGAGACAGAGACAGAGACAGAGCACAAGGGGGCCCAGGTGCAGAGAGAGAGAGAGACACAGAATCTGAAGCAGGCTCCAGGCTCTGAGGTGTCAGCACAGGTGGGGCTCGAACTCACGCACCGTGAGATGGTGACCTGAGCCGAAGTCGGACGCCCAGCCGACTGAGCCACCCAGGTGCCCCTTGGGATTTTTTTTTTTAATGGACTTCAGTTTTGAAATTTGGAGAAACTTGTGACCATCATACAGCATTTCCAGGCACAGCTGCCCACCGTTTCCCCCTTATTCACTTCTCACAGTAGTGTGGTGGATCCGTTAAAATTAATGAACCAATATTGGTACGTTATTATTAAAGAAAGTCCATAGTTTATTTAGATTTTGCCTTAGCTTGGGCTGCTATAAGAAAACGCCGTAAACTGGATACCTTGAATAACAGGAAATTATTTCTCACAATTCTGGAGGCTGGAAGTTGAGATCAGGGTGCTAGGATATTATGCTGTGATGAGAACACTCTTTCCGTTTGTAGAACACTTTTTCTGTTTGTAGAACACTCTTTCCGTTTGTAGAACGCCCACTACTTGTATTCTCACAGGGTGCACCCGGGGAGCTGTCCATCTGGTATTTTTCATAAGGGCACTGATCTCATTCATGAGGACTCCACACTCAGGACCTAATTAACTTTTCAAAGACCCACCTCCGTATCCAATCGCACCGGGGATTGAATGTCAACACGTGAACTTTAGAGACACACAGACATTCAGTCCAGAGGAGATTTCCTTAGTTTTTAACCATGTATCCATGCAGCATCCCACATTACACTGTCTTGTCATGTCTTTTTAGGCTCCTCTTGGCTGGGACAGCCTCTTAGACTTTGCTTGTTCATGATGGTCTGACAGTTTTTAGGAGCGCCGCTCGGGTATGTTGTGGAGTGTCCCTCTTTGCCGTTTGTCCGATACTTTTCTCATAATCAGCCGGGGGGTGATGGGTTTGGGGAGGAAGGTCACAGAGG